TTTACTATTTTAATTTGGGTAACGGGAAGGCATAATATACGTACTATGCATTGACTCTTGGTGTTGTACTCCTACTTTTTTTTTTAATTTATCTTTTAATTAGTCTCGTTTAACGTACTCCTACCCTTTTTTTTTTTTTTTTTTTTTTGAGGTGTTGCCGAGAAAGTGACTTTAAATTTTAGGTTTAATAGTTTAGATCTTAGAAAGGGAGGCTAGCCTGACAACTCACACAAAAATAAATTAATAATGAATATAGAAAAAGCTAAATTAATCAACCATAGCCTAACATAGTAGCTAGTTCCTTACAAGAGGGTCTATAAATTATGGCATTTGGAATGCAATAAAATGCTCATATTAAAACTTTAGAGCGTGAAATACTATTTTCAGCATGGCACGATTTAAACTTAGTTTCGTTATTAGCATTCTTCTCATGACAATCACAAGTTAGTATACCTATTTCTTTTATCTAGATTATAATTTTACATTCTTATGTGTCAATATATATTGCTACATCTGAGAAACTTTTTATCAATTTGTTGATATATTATGTTTTTATGCATGATCTTTGAATGTTCAATTATCACTTTGTACTGGTAAGAATTTTAATTTTGATAATATGGAATATTTCAGTCAATATGTCGCAGTTTTTCATGAGACAAGTATTGGCGATAGAAGTTGATCTTGAGCTCTCGGGACTTAAGCGGAGACTACTCCCACAACTTAACGAGTGGCTTACTTGTGATAGAAATTGTGGGTCCCATAGTGATTGTAGTGATGGCTGGTTTTGCCGCCGATGTATCAATGCTTATCCATTTATTCCTACAGTTTGTAGAGGGCCATTTGGATAGAAGATCAAGACCAATTCGATTATAAATCTTTGAAAGCATTTGTGTAATTTCTATGTGATTTCAGTATCTTGTTTTGTTGGTCTTTTGTTCTATTATTTCTTTCATACTTTGTATGAACAACGAAGAAAATCAAGAGAGTGTCGTTTGTTTACTATCCAAAGACGGACTAGACTAGCTTGTTGTAACATATAGACATCATATACGAGGAAAACACTTTGATAGTCCCTTAATAGGAGTATTTTTATTCCTTATCTATACCACTGAATATAAAATATTCTTAATTTATCTATCTATCTATCGATCTATTTATCTATCTATACTATATTAAAAGCACGAAGGCCATTTTTCCCCTTTAAATATGAGGAAAAATGACGTTCCTTTTTAAAAGCACGAAGGCCATTCTATCTATGTATACTATATCCCTTAGCGAAATGTTTTTCGCGTTTTTTACCATTTAAAAATCTATCTCAATCACCGCACCCAAATGAAGCGGCAGCCTTAATTATCAAGCCAAATACAGGAATGGAACAGAGAAGAAAATGACTGTGATCACTTCCTATTAGCCATTTTTTTATCATAGCATCTTGCTGCACTTTCTCTATTCTAATGTATATGTTGTTCTCATATCCAACATGTACACAGTATACTGTGCGATCTCTGACTCTGGAACAATTTTTTTGAATACTCAATGAAGGTAAAAGTATAAATATAAAAATTCTTAACGGGGTAACGATTTATCTGATAAGAAAATTGAATAATCCGTCCCCAAATCGTTAAACCGTTAATTATAAAACTCAATCTGTTCATCATCCATTACCCCGATAACCCAATACCAATAAGTCAATAAGCCATCGATTTGGTTCGATTAACGATTACGGTTCGATTTTGAACAGCCCTATTATGAATAGCCATTTAAATATTTTCCTACTATTTAGGATTTTGGAACCGACTAAGTTTGGTGTATTAAATTCTTCCATATTTAATGTTTGAACTATAACATATTTGTATTTCTTGCTGGAGATTTTATCGAACAGTAGTGAGAAATATTGCTTCTTCCCTTGTTTTTATTTATTTCCTTTTTTTTTAATTTTGTTAGTTAATTTAATTACTTATACTAAATTAGATTAGGAATAGTCTTATTTGTCAAAAGATTTAATATAATTATGAATAATAAATATATGAAATTTACGTGCCGTCCTATGCATTTAAATTTCAGCCTCCTCTCCCTAATATAAACTTGCAAAAACAAATAAAAACTACACATGAATTACAAAAGTACATGTATAAAAATAATTTCTTTTGCCATAAGTTTGCTTTGTCAACTGTCTTCATTAAGATATCATTCAGATATTTTTATGGCTAAATCTTTTTTTTTTTTTTTTTCTTTCTGTCTTTTATGGGATTGGTTTTCGGCTTGCTGATCTTCCCTAGGTTTGTGTGCAATTGGCTTTCGTTTACTTTCCTTTTTACTTGATTCTTTGGAAGGATTAGCATATACGTATTATTGGACAACGATTTGCCCTGCACATTAAGTCCAAATAGACACGGACTTAGAGCGAGAGTATCCCCCTTCTCTCTAGGAAGAAAATAGATTCCCCATCTCTTACCGTTCCGGCCAGCACATGGCCCAATCATCGGTCCCCCCTTGACCCACCACCATCACCAAACTGCTTTCCACCATCATTTATTACAACCCCCCCCCCCCACCCCTCCAATAGCACTTAATTACCCTAACCCTCCTCACCTCATTAACTACACTGCAATTACTTCTTCAATTCCCCTAATGGAGTTCCTCCCACTAAATGTTCCATCTTTAATAGGGGCATGCTCAATAGTGATGGTCTCAAAGACCATACGCAAACCTCTAACAAAGGGGCCTTAGGAAATAGACCCTCTATCCCTGAAAGAAATCGTGTCAAGCTTCGTAATAGATCATTCGAGGTTGTTGATGGAAAACCCACTATCATATTCACCAAAGAGGAGAATGACATCCTTGCTCATACCTGCAAATGAACAATTGGTGGTACGTTTCCCCGAATTCGGCTATCTATTGATATTATCCATTGTAACGATTCGACCGGTCGTTTTGAGCTCTAGCGCATCATTCGGTAGTTTGAGGCCATGAGTAGCTTCACTTCATGCATTATGACTTGCACGCATGGTCGGAATTGAATTTCGGGAAGTTTAGAGTTGATATGGAAAGAAAATTCTCATTTCGGAAGTTTTAAGTTGAAAGAATTGACTAAGGTTTGATTTTTGAGTAAACGACCTCGGAATCAGGATTTGAAGGTTCCAACAAGTTCGTATGATGATTTTGGATTTGGGCGTAGGTCCGGATCGGGTTTTGGATGACCCGTGAGCGTTTCGGCGTCTATTGTGGAAGTTGGCATTTTGGAAGAATTTCATAAATTTGGGCTGCAGTGCATTTCAATGTTTTTTATGTCCGTTTACGATTTCGAGTCTGGGAATAGCCCCGTATGGTGATTCTTGTATTGGTAGCGCGTCCGGAAGTGGATTCGGAGGTCCGCATGTCATTTTGGGGACATTTGGCGAAAGTTAGAAATTTGAAAGTTTTTAAGAAGTTTGACCGGAAGTGGACTTTTTGATATCGGGGTCGGATTCCAATTCCGGAAGTTTGAGTAGGTCCCTAATGTCGAATGTGACTTGTGTGCAAAATTTGAGGTCAATCGGACGTGATTTGATAGGTTTCGACATCGAATGTAGAAGTTTGAAATTCTAAAGTTGATTAAGCTTGAATTGGGGTGTGATTCATAATTTCGATGTTGTTTGATGTGATTTTAGTCCTTGAGCAAGTTCGTGTCATGTTTTGGGACAGGTTGGTGTGATTGGACGGGGTCCCGGAGGCCTCGGGTGTGTTTCTGATCATTTTGGACTACCTTGGATGCTGATTTACTAATATCTGGTATTGTTCTCCGCGATCACGAGGATCCTCTAGTGTTCGCGAAGAAGGATTTGGCTTCTTGGATTTTGTTCTTCGCGTTCACATAGAAACTCTCGCGTTCGCGAAGAAAGAAATTATTATTGCACAGGTCTGACTTCGGAGGCTCATATCTTGCAACCTACAAAGAATTTAAAGATGATCCAAAATAAAAGTTGTAGCCCGTTGTGTCAAGTTTTCGTAAAAGTAAACCATCTAGCATTTGGATTTGTGTACATAAAGTTATGTCTGGTACACTACAGACTGTCTGGGAAGATGAAGAAGAAATTTGTGTTGCACAGGGCTGATTTTGGCGGCTTATATCACGAAATTTATATGGAATTGGGAGATCACCAAAACATAAAAGTTGTATATATTGGTGTCTACTTTTCAATAAGTTAAACCATTTGTCGTTTGGAGTTTTGTACGAAAAGTTATGACTATTATACTAGAGGCTGTCTGAGAAGAGTTTGGAATGGCTTTCGAGAATTTTGTGCATCGCGAACACGAAGGGAGGCCCACGGACTCGAAGAAGGTTGCCTGGCACTGTATAACTTTGCAAAAATGGTTTTTGCTCATTTCATCTCATTTCCTCCATGGGAGACGATCTAGGAGAGATATTGGAGCTCTATCTACATCATCTATGTCAAGGTAAGTGATTCCCACCTATTGCAAGTTAATTACTCGGATTATATCTAGCTTTTAACATGGAAAATCATGGGAAATTAGTAGAAACTTGGGGTTTTGAAGAAAAACCTAGAAATTTATACTTTTAGATTTTGACCACGAAATTGGATATGGAACTTGGAATAAATTATATATTTGAGTTCGTGGTGTTATGGGTAAAGTTTATCTTCGAAAATTTTCGAAATCCAGGCACGTGGGCCTGAGGATGATTTTATCGACTTTTCAATCGGAATTGGAAATTATTGTAAATAGGATTATAATGGGTATTTGAGTATATATTAATGGGTTTGCATAATTTTTGACTAGTTTTGGAGTGTTAGGCACCGGTTTGAGTTGTCGGAAGGGCTTGGGAGCCGGTTATGGAACTTCGGAGCGAGGTAAGTCTCCTTTGTAACCATATAAGAGAGAATTAACCCCATAGGTGAACTAAATTATTATGTGCTTCTATTTTTAGGGGCTACGTATGCACGAGGTGACGAGAGTCCGTACATAGTTACTAGCTATGCCTATGTCCGGATAGTTTTACGCTTACATCACGCCTTGTTGATATTATTGTTGATTTATGTTTATTGTTTGCCTTGAGAAGAAGCGAGATTGAGTTCTCTTATTAAATGCTTTTGAAAGGAGTCGAAATTAAGGAAAAGTTGGGAACTTAAAAGTTTTCATTTGAAATTTTTTAATTTAAAAAGAATTGAGGAATTTTTTAATAACTTAAGAAATCTATGCGTAACCGCCTCGCACGTATGATCCGCGAGCGGGGTAATTCCTTAAAATTATATTTGACCACATCACACGTATGATTCGCAAGCGAGGAAATCTCTTAAACTTATATTTGATCGTGTCGCAAGTATGATTCGCGAGCTAGGTAACTCCTTCTACTACTCTCATGGGAGCGGGCTGATCGCCTCGGCACGTTAATAGATGCATCTATGGTTCGCGCCGTTCGACCCCCGGCAGTGCACAATTTATTTTTTTGTTTGATCAGGCCGTACGCCTCAGCATTTCCTCTATATATATATATATATATATATATATATATATATATATATATATATATATATATATATATATATATATATATTATACTCATTGAATCGTGCGTAATATTTGGCAAGAAGCCAGTGTATCTGAGGGTTTTTTCCTGATTTGAGTTATGACAACCTTTTTGATGAAATTCACTGTATCAATATATATATATGCTCCGGTTACGGCCGGTTACGGAGGAAACTTGCTAGTTGAGAGATTGAGTAAATTGTAAAGAGAGGATTTATACCATGTATTTTATACTTGTTTGTTTCATATAATTACTATGTTTCATATTTATTCACTTCCTTACTGCACCTGATATTATTGGACCACTAGTAAGTGTCGAAGTCGACCCCTCGTCACTACTTCTTCAAGGTTAGACTGGATACTTACTGGGTACGCATTGTTTTCGTACTCATACTATACTTGCTGTACATTCTTTGTATAGGCACATGTATATCTAGTGGCCTCGTGGGAGCGGCGGCATGGTTGACACGGAGACTTTGGTGAGCTACATCTTATGAGACGATATGTATCCAGCAGAGTCTCCTTTAGAGTATTTGTACTTTTTTCT